AAGGTATTCAATTATGATAAGTGTTAGGTAACGCATGTGGGCTTCTTAAATTATAATTACTACCTTGATGGGAACCAACTCAATAATGTTATGAAAGAAATGGATCTTGTGTTTTATTTGATAAGTCTCTTAAGCCTTTCAGCCAGTGTGCTGTTATGAGTATGCAATCAACTAAGAATACTGAATATAAGTTACAGGAAGTTAGTTCTTTGACAGGTCCTTGATTAAGCCTTGTTTATTCTGTTAAATATTGGGTTCCTTACTTTAAAGGATATTCATTTGTTCCCAATGGTTCAGAGGAGGACTACTATATTTATTCTGGGGATGGTGAGGCTGTCATATGAGAACAAGTTATGGTCCTTAAAATTATTTTCTCATGAGAAAACAAGGGTTAGAAAAAATCTGATTTAAGTGTACAAAATTATAAATGGAATAGGTAAGATAGATGCATCGTATTTTTCCTTGGTTAAGAATGGTAGGACTAGTGAAAATATATTTAATACTTGGCAGAGTAGAAGTTATCTGTAAATTAAGCAAATTTTTTGAATAGGGTATTTAGCCTTTGGAATAGTTTGCCTTTAGATGTGGTAGACACAACAGAAACAGGAGAATTCATGAGAAAACTTGATAAATACTTAAAAAAATCAGGGCTGGACATAAGCAGCTGGGTGTTAAATGAAATAAATGGGACAGCTGTAAGAGATCCTTGTTGCCGTTCAAGTGTTGTGTTATGTTATTACTACTGATTCAGCTAGTACCTCACCTTGTGACATCAAACTGATAAATCTGCTTCACATGTATATATATATATGTATATATGAGATTTATTGCATTTAAGTGAAATACACTTTTCAATTATACAAGAACAAAATAATTCAGAAGAAAGATATGTACTACCATATACAAAAATTCTGGTTTTTCTACAAAATACTAATTTATTACAAAATTTATTGTTACTCTTGGAAAAGAGAATAATTTATCAACCTTATAGGTAAAACTCAATATACCAGCCAAAATAGTAAAACACTGGTTGTTATATATTTATGTAGTTGCATTAGCAAAACATTATTGCTTTAATTACAAAATTAGTTTTTGAAGCATTTAAAAAATATTAATAAGGGAACCTCAACTGGAAAATGTGAATTTGAATAAATATGAATCACAATATAAGCAGCACTTAACTCCAATGAATATTTCTATGCTATGATGTAACAAACAATTTTTAGTTTCACTTTCATTTCAACTAAATTTCTAAGATGCACTGAACTTGGAAATCTGTAAAACTTACTATCTTAAATGCAACATATTTTGCATTTTGGCACAAAATGACAAGACAATCCTCAAACTGTTATTGACATATATCCTATAGTTTTCACATCAGAATTATGAATCTCAAAAATCTTAAACTTGGAATGTTTTAATACAAAACAACTGTAAGACATTTTTAAACATAAGCATAGTACATAATGGTTTTGAAAAGTTAAATACTGAACTGTCTGTTTCTAAAGGTCAATAAAAAATGTTTAGCTTATAAGGAATGTTTATAGACATATATTCTTTCAAAACAGATGTCACTACTACAAGTCTTTTAGTTTGTAACTCAATAGAGTTAGCATCAACCTTATTCAATATGTATACATATATACACAAGTATCTTAAGATAAAACAAAAGTATTTAATACTAGCTAATCTCTTGGTTATGATATGAAATTCTCCCAAATACAGTACAATACAAATATTTATAAAATAGTTTCAGAGATCTAATTCCAGAATATGTCGCTTAAAATAGCATAATCCATGTTTTCTTACATTATAATCTTAAATATTTATAAATTTTTATGCAATGTATGTATATACAACGTTTCTATGTAATTATGTATGTTCAAAAGAGACTTAGTTAAAATTCTTCACCATCTTAAATTTTATTTTTTCAGATATGTATTAATCAAACAAGCTGTTTAGCCAAAAAACCTCATAATGTGTCTTAATATCACCACTAACTGAACTTTGTCCAGAAGTCATGAAGAATTATAAAAAATAACACCTTCAAAATAATCAATCCTATTTTTCTTATACAGACTATGATAATTCTTCAATTGTAAACAAGTTTCTTAATAAAATACACTAGTTCCTAATTCTTCCACCTTACCATTATTTTAAAAATCAAGTTTATGTTGAGAAGGATAAAAACAAACCTTAAGGCACTATCACCTGACTTTATATATATATATATAGGTCAATCTGAGTCGCATTTTTTAAAAATACAATACAAAGTTTAAGAATAATTTTATATACTATATGAACAACCATGCAAAACCTAATCATTAGGGCTATAAAAACAAACTACAAAAATATGTTTCCATTTTATTTTGTTAGGGAAATCCATTGGACAAAAGTATCTGAGTACAACTATATCTTGAATATTTACCATTGAGAAATTACATGGAAACCCAGATATAGTATATATATATATCATAATTTCCAGAAAATTAAACTATAATATACAAGTCTTTGTTTTTCATGACATTAAAATATGACACATCGCTAACCCAACAACAGGTTCTGTTACTAGGTGACAAGAGTGTTTGACTGCTTAAGCTATTGTAACTTCAGAACAAGTACTACTAAGAAAATGGTGACATCAATTAATATCATGATAGTTTACAGTCTAGATATTTTACTGAATTTGGAGCAATGATTAAAAGTAAAAAGTATGAGATGGGAAACCATCTTTAAAAGATGATGATGAAAGGCACAAGCTGGCATTCAGTGATGACAGAAATAATGTTGGTAGGATTTTATTACACAAAACAAAAATAACCGTTGCTATTATTAAAATATTTTCTATTGAGAGGAGAGTTTAAATGATACCTTTTATTCTGTTCTAATATGTTTCAAATAAATTGAATGGATATTTAATTAAAACCTATGTTCATGCTGTTTTTTTAGTGTTGAGCTTGTTTTGAAAATAGCACAAATAAGTTAAAAGCAATAAATAAAATATGAATTAAATTCTGCTTTTGATACCCACTCTTAAATTTACTTGTTTTTCCTTTGACTAAGAAACTAAATTGTGTTCTGTGTATATGAGCCTCAGAAAAGTGTACAAGACAGTTGTATATTAGTGTTTAAGGTACTGAAATATGTTAATGGTGGTACATGGTTCTATGAAGTTCGAATACTTTTTCAAAGTTTGTCTTGGGGTAAATTCTAATGTATCTTTGGCCTACGTTGTGCTTACTTACTAAATCTAAAACTCAAATATCATGAAAAGTAGCAGATATTAATTATTTTTTATGTGTATAACCTGAGCCACAAGAAAAATTTGTTAATTAACAGCTGAAAATATTCTTTAATAGATTGTTTAGGCAGAGTATTCATAATGAGTGCACTGGAATGGGCAGCAACTGCCTGTTATAGAAATAACAAGACGTTTCAAGTCTTCTGACCTGAAGAGAGAAGATTTTTTAAATATCGTCCTCTACACTTGTGTATTTTCTACAAGCGGCAGTTGCCACTCATTCCAGTGTACTCAGCTGAAAATATTGTTAAACATGAAAGTACCTAGTTGATGATTCAATAAATTCTTATCACTGTTTCAAAGTTTGTCTTGGGGAAAATTCTAATGTATCTTTGGCCTACGTTGTGCTTACTTACTAAATCTAAAACTCAAATATCATGAAAAGTAGCAGATATTAATTATTTTTTATGTGTATAACCTGAGCCACAAGAAAAATTTGTTAATTAACAGCTGAAAATATTCTTTGATAGATTGTTTAGGCAGAGTATTCATAATGAGTGCACTGGAATGGGCAGCAACTGCCTGTTATAGAAATAACAAGACGTTTCAAGTCTTCTGACCTGAAGAGAGAAGATTTTTTAAACATCGTCCTCTACACTTGTGTATTTTCTACAAGCGGCAGTTGCCACTCATTCCAGTGTACTCAGCTGAAAATATTGTTAAACATGAAAGTACCTAGTTGATGATTCAATAAATTCTTATCACTGTACGCTTGAGTGTTTTTTTTGTATAGATTTATAACTTTATGAACTTATTGATAGTTTATGATACAGAATTAGCTTCATTAATTTACAAGTCACTTTTTATTTGTGACCTCTATAGTTAACTTACTTTTGATCAGAAGATATTAATAACTAATGAGACTGATTTCTTCCACAAAAAACAACCCTAAAATGTACACTTTCGGTAGTTATCTTATGTTAAGTCCAGAAGTAATGATCCACAAATACAGATGCATTAGGTTTGTTTAACAACTACAAAACATAAAATCAGCAAGTTGTGTGTTAAATTAAAAACAAACGAATAAACACTTTGTAGTGAAGTTACGATGTTAGCAACAAAAATAAATCTTTACGACACTATCCAGTCTGAAGTAATCAAGAGATTCGGATATATATTAAACTTAGTATATATCAATATATATATATAAAAGTTCATAAACTTTGAAAAAATATATAAACAACAAACATTTTCATTATCTCTTACAAATACATTTTCTAAATATACTTAATTATTTTAGGATACAATATGTTTATATAAAACAGTATTGCTTTCATTCAGCATGATACTAGGACAATATTATAAACTACTCAAAAACAACTGATTCTAACTTCTGTTTTAGGCCAGTGAAGAGTGAATACGTTTTGCTTGCATCTAGTGGGATCTTACAAAAAACTAATACACTTAAATATGAAGATTCTCTTTCCAAATTAATAATAAGCACTTAGTGTGCACCTATAAATGATGCTGATAAATTATCAGTTAACTACAGGCCATAAAATATTATAAACGTAAATAATATATAAGAAATGACCAAAATATTATAAACTAAACAATTACTGTGCTACCAGGTAATAATTCTAGAATGTTCAACCAATTATTAGTGCCACATTCTCCCACTAATTATTTAGCATTTTGTAAATAAGAAGTTGATGAAATACTGGGTGGTTTTCAAGTGCTACATTTTCACTTTGCGTTAAATTTTTGAGAATACAAATAAACATCTTGCTGGAGTCCTCTCCCTTCCTAAAGACTGTGAAGGCCTCCATCCTGTCATCATGGAGCTCGGTTATTTGACCTCCTCTTTTTAGCCCCACCACTACATAAGCAATAACAGCAACTGCAGACAGCCCATAGTATCAGACAAAGAATAAATGTTCCACCAGCAGCAATCCCAACCCAGATCCACAAGTCTGTTCCTATTACTATAGAGAGTAATGATAAGAAACAACACTGTTGTGAAGGAAGGGTTTTTATTAATAATCTGTCATCCACAAATAAATCCTAAAACTTCACAAGTGTGCCTCTATTACAAAACAAGTTCAGCATGATTGTGGTGGAACTGATTTTTGTCAACTTACTACAATCGTCAAATTAATGTTTCATGAATATAAAATTGTTTGTATCTATACCACTAGCAAAACTGTTACAACATGGCTGTGTGGAAATTATTCTCACTAATATACTGCTATCCACAAATAACCTTACATCTCTCAAAACGTGTTCCAGTTACTGTCATAATGAAAAATAAATACTACGTGGTTGTGTGCAACCAATTCTCATCAACATACTATAACAGACCCACAATTGTTTTACTGTCTTGAAATTTTTACATGTTTTACAGTAATTCCTGTATGCTGAATCTGAAAATGATATCCATTTTTCTTTATCATGTACAGAATTTTCACAAAACGTCATAATGCAATACATAAAAGAAAAACCAGAACATGTAGTTTTGAGACTAAAAGACATAGATTTCACAAAGAAAATCAGGATGAATAAGAATATACATTCATTTGACATCAATGTTCTTCCATTTTTTTTCAGTTTGTTTGCAAAAAAAACTGAAAAACGAAACAGTAATTTTATTTGAGTTTTTCTTTCAAATTTGTAAAATATCCTCACATGATAGAAAAAAATAAATATTATTTTCAAAATCTGCGGAGCTGAATTATGGGAAACCCATTATCAAAACCAAAACAACTTTTATGAAATTTAAATTTGCAGGCCTGTGCATTCTATAAATAAATTTTACATATAAAAAACCTGTTCATATTACATTAGTAACATAAAAAAAATTCAGCAGCTGGTTTATTAAACTTAATGCACGTTCACCTGCTGGAATCCAGAAGGAAACTTTATTAATACAAACCAAAAAAATTAGCAACGGCTTTTACTTATAAGCTAGATATGCATATATGTGTCTTAATATTTCTACAAATTATTCATTTTTTCTATATGCAAACAATTTGTGCATGTTAATATACTGGTGTGATATAACAGTTGCAAGCCATTTTACCACAGGCAACATTTTAAAAAGCATCTATATATATATATATATATATATATGGTTCATGGTGAATTAATGACTGATCAACAGTGCCCCCCTCCCCCCCCGAGCACATAGTCCACATAGAGCAAAGGCCTGTTGAAATTTTATTCAGATATATGGTCTACAATTGACTTTGCTGTCCTTTGCAAGAGCCTATTATAATATCTTAATGTAATGTATTGGTCCAAAGTGTTTAATGATGACCATCAGACTGACAATGGAAGTAGTAGTCCCAAGAATAACAGAAAACCAAAATCAATGTTTTTATAAAGTACAATCAATCATAGTATTTCTTTGAGATCATAATATTAAACTAGATAAATAAAAATACATTACTAAAATATCTTTTATAATGTTATAAACTTTTACCCATATAACAAAAACTAAATTTCTGAAAATCAAAAGTTCAGAAATATATATCTTCTGTTTAGATCATTATTTTTGAATATAAAAAGGTGAAATATACTGGAAGATAGATTACATTTAAATATTTGTATTATAGTATATTACATTTAAACATGTTAATTTTCCTGATCAGTAAAATGATTATTATTTCTATTGTTATTATTTGCTTAGTGCAAAGCTAATAAAATGGGCTATTTGCAATCTGTCCATTGTAGAGAATCCAATCCCAGATTTCAGCATTGTAAGTATGTAATTTACAGCTGACTCACCTGGGGAATGGTAAAATAAATTCTTTGGTAGTCTTACTACTGCTTTTTAATTCCATTTCTTATTTGTTTTTAGAATGCTAAAAACAGTTATTTCAAAAATAGCCAAAATAGCCATTTCAAAATTAATTAAAAAAAGATTTATAACAGTTGGAATCAAACCTTTTATAAATTTATACTTAACTACATATTCCCAAAAATTAAGAAATATTAAATAGTAATGAAAGTAGGATGACTAAGAAGCTGCTAACAATAAACTTACAGTTACTACCCACTGTAACTTATACTGAGGCATTATCAGGTGAAATAAAAATTCAATACTTATTTTAATAAAGATATACAACAATTACAATTAAACAATACATAAATTTATACCTGACTATACAATCTCAAAAACTAAGGAATACAAAAGTGTGACTGAGAACATATTAACAATAGTTTTGGTTAAATAGTGTTCTAATTATATTTCCTTACCATCAGAGAATGTTCCAATGTATTGTTTAATTACCGCTGTGGCATTTTGTCTAAACTCTTCTAACTCTGAGATCGATTTCACTTCAGCTACAATTCAGGAAAGAACTAAATATCAATCATTTGATTTATAAAATTTTAAGGTGTAAAATTTACTAGCTTTGTATTTATTGCATTCATTACATTATATAATACACAGTTCTTTAGTTTATGACTACATATCTCTCAATATAAACACTTTCTTCATAAAGTGAATTTAAAGAAAAAACCTACAAAAACTTGTGAAAATGGTTAAAGCATACATATCAAAATATAGAAAAGTACATTTGGGAATGGAGGCTAATAAAGAAAATAGATCACATTTTATGAATAAACTTTAAAATGAATGCATCAAAATTAATTTTGAAAAGAAAACACTTGTGAGGTTTCCTTATTATTCCTACAGATAATTATGTAAACCGTTTTGTAAAACATCATACTTTCATAAGTGGTCTTATGAGGGCTTTATAAACAGTAGAGAGATAACATGTGAATTGTGAGTTACTTAAATTTACAGCTGTTATAAGCAACAGATTTCTTAAGTGTGGAAGTTTAAGAGTTGCCACAGTCTTACAGCTATTTTATGAGAATAAAATTCCTTGATCACAAGTCTTCAAGCATACCACAAACCTTACAGCTTGTGTTGTAAAATACATTTATTTAATACAAACATTTGTACGTTGTTCTGTTCTTACAGCCCTTTCATGAACAACAGATTCCTTCCATGTCAGGACTTTAGTTGTTCATACAAGTACTTAACAAACAACACATTTCATAAATCTGAGCAATTGAATGTGCTCTTAAAACTTAACTATTTTTATATAGAAAAGCACTTCAATTATTTTTAAATTTTAACAAAAAGTAATATAAAGAATACCTTGCTTTTATTAGTTCATTGTTAACTTTATTTACAGTGAAATAATTTGAAATAATGAACCATTAATTTCGAATATGCTAACCACCTACTTTGCTTACAGTAGTACATCCTATTATATGAAAATTCCACTTTAGATCACACAGCTTTAGCTTTAGCTATTTTTTGTTTTTAAAGAACTAACGTTGGACTATAGTAAAAAAAATAGTGTACACAGCTGTGACCACATTGGCCTAACTGATGATTCAACTAATGTATTCTAATCTTTATATTATAATTTGTATTTTAGTTCTGATCTATATAGTTAGCTTACTTTTGATCAAAAACTCTTGATAATATTAAACTGGCAATCTCTTTTGGAATAAGTTTCCTGCATTAGGCTTAGAGCATAGATGTTGATATACAAGAAATTGTCAGAGTTAACTTCTTTTTTTATAATAAGCACACAATGTGTCAGCCAAAAGGAAATTAAAGAAAAATAATATGCAGTAAAATGTATAACAATCAAAAACTATTCTTCATTATACAAAACAGGTTATTTACACAGTATCTGCTCAACTTTGAAGAAGACAGTACTGCAGGATAATAAAATAATATTGTAAACCTAAATGAACTCATGGAGTGCTCTCAAACGGTTGTTCCTTCTTATAATACTGTCATACAGTCCTCCTTTTATATACATACTTTCTTATTCAGCTTGTTAATAAGTTAATTACTTCATGTATTCTTTGTAATTTCTAAAAAGAAACAAGCAATGTTGGTCCTTCTGGATATAGTTAAACATTTATAAAGAACTATATGGTACCATCTAATGTGTTCTTGGTAATTTTTTGGAGAAAATGAATCTTTAAAACCTTATCTAGTTTCACTGCAAGTATGATTATTTTATTAAATCTTTAAGTACTGAAAGTTTAATTGCTAAAACTTACTTAACACTATGTCTGTATTCTATTATAGACACACCAAACCAAAAGGATGCCTCATCATGAAGTATGAAATATTCTCAACAACAAAAAAAGCATACACAGTTGGTGTCTGACTGTCTCTATAAACACAGTTTTTGTACATTCAAAGGACTTTCTAAACAAGTTAAATGAATCAAAGCAAAACAAGGATAAAAAATCTTTCTCCATATAGAAACCTCTTTTGCCACTTATAAACATAAATAAAATTTTATGGAAATTATTCCTATGATCAAACCTTTTAAATATTTAATGATGTGAAAATATCAGTAATGTTAAATTTTTTTGTATCATTTTGTCATTACATCCTAAAAACACACATGAAAGTGAATTGACAAATACTTACTAAACACAATAAAACATATACACAAGGTCCAAAGCACGTGCTTCATCTTTAATGAAAGTTCCTGAAACATAAACATAATTTTGTTAGAATCAGATACTAGCAAATATATAAATTCCAACAAAGCATGTACAGCTTTTTAGTCTAGTTCTGTCAATTATTACTGATAAACAACTGTGTTATAATTACTTAAGTTTATATTCAAAAACCTATACACTGTACTTATAAATGTATTTTAACTTTATTTCAAAAAAAAAGCTTTAACAGTCTCACTTTAATTAACATAAGGTTTAACAAGGTATTTTTATACACACTAATTACTTAAATTAGTAGTTTAGCTAACGTTCTCATATAACTAGCAAGCCTAACAGTCCAAGTCTGGATTAATAAATATATGGTTTCCTAATTAAAAACCACTTTAATAAAAAAAAGTGTTTAATTTCCAGTCAAGTGAAATAACCTGAGTAACTCTCAGACGATATAGTTAATAAACTTATTATTTTGTATAAAAATTAGATTTAAACATAGTTCCTACATTAGAAACTTATAAAGTTTGAAAGATTTCTCTAGAATCTGTTTCAATGTTTTGATGGAGAATATATAGTGTATGTAATAATTCTTGTGATATTTGGCACACTTTTCATAAGCAATTTGTAGAAACCCTTACAATCTCAAAGTTAAAATTATACTAAGCAAAAGCTTGTAAAAATTTATTCTTTACGTTTATCTTTGCATTAAAAATCTATGTATGCATCATAAGGTTGATGGAACTACATATTTTATTAAAAGATATGTTTACAACAAAAAGGTTGTTATAACTACAAGACTCTTCAACACTGCAATGTGTACCAAGTATGATTAAGTTATAACAAAGTAAGAATGTGATGTACAGAACCAGTGTTTGCCAGAAATTTCTGAAAGTTAACATTTTCCTATATTGTTTTCAATGTATTTTCAATAAGTACTTACATCCTTTCACCCAAAGTTATCTTGACTTTGATTCGCCCTCTAAGCATTGCTAAAAATATTTTTTCCCTAATAGTGCATTAGTCTGTTAAAACCCTTTATATTCATGCTCCCTCTACTATTCTAGCACAATCCCCACTTTTGAGAATTGGCAGTTACAAACTAAAACACCAGCTTATCAGTGGGGAGGAATGGTAGAAAGTGGGGGAGCAGATGTATCAGAAATACATTTTTAGTGTAGAAAAATGTTAACTTTTGAAACAGTACTACCATGCTCACCCAAAGCTAGAATTCCACATTGAAAACATGGAGGGGCCAGTAAAGGCACAACAGTATACAAATAAACAGATAACAACCACCTGAAAAGAACAGGTGTGCCAGAAGAAGAAAGTAAGGCACACCTGTGGAATATAGCACTACTGAAACAGATATACTTCCCCTCTAATAACACATATATAGGGCAGAATGTATGAGACAGATACCATATACTCAAGAAAAAGATGTACAGCACTTTGCTTTGGAGCAGTGCAGTATAACTATGACATGAATCAGTATATAGTGGACACACGAAGTGTCTAGAATGCAACTGACAGGTCCAAAGAATTACGTGTCAAGGGAAGAGTCCTGAGGCACACTGGAGCAAGTCCACTGATGTCTTGACGAGGACATTGGTAGCAAACAGAGTGATCTTCCCCTTAAAAAAAAAACGGGAAGCATCATAAATAAGTAGTGAGATGAAATTTTGTCTTATAATTCAGAATCAGTCTGTTGTCAACAAATAGTGCACTATTCGTCCACATATGTATTAAGTCTTAGTATGTGATATAGAAATAATGAGTTATAGTAAGGTGCCACATAAGTTGGATTATTCCAAACAATGATTGCTGTTTTTCTGTTGTCCATTGCAATTGTATAATGAAGAATGGAGGAACTGTCTCTTGTTCATAGCTTGTGAACTCCATGAAATGTGATAAATGTTCTGCTTTTCCCATAAACTTTTTGGAAGAACTGACACACCCTTGCAGCATGACACTAATACTTGGGAAGGCTTGTCAAAGAAACTGAAGGACTATGAAACTGGCATTATGCATCAGAAACGTTTCACAACATGTACGGTGTTACGGGAAGGTGGGTACTTATACCAAATAAATGATACTTTTAAAGTTTACTCATTCTGAATTTTCCAGAGCTTTTTTTAGGTGGCTTTGAGTTTAAAATCAGTATACAAAAGAGGGAATAATCTGTAACTCAAGTTTTTTTGTTTGTTAACTTAACACAAGCTTTCAACAGTTTCATCCACCTATAGACTAGCTTCAAACTTCTTGATTCTCATCAGTAGGACTAAAAGGAGAATATATAATACAATAAAGCTTTATCGAATGCTACCTGATTTATTAGATGTACTCTTCAATAAATTCGGCTGGTTAATCATTGCACCTCAAAATATTAGCGTATATAGTTGTCATTTGGGAGAGCAGTTTTTTAGCATAATAGAAGAGAAAATAGACAAACTGTTTCTCAAAATTATTGTTTTCTTATTTTAGGCATCATTAACCAAACTACAATAGATGAACATGAGATTCAAGTGCTGTTAAAAGAGCGGAACTTCTGGAAAGTGGTGCTAGAACAACTGCTTGACATTGTGATCTTTCTCTCCAAAAGAAATCTTATCTTTCATGTTTCAAAAGAAGTATTGGGTTCACTCGGTAATGGAAATTTTTTGGGTATGCCTGAATTTTTGGCTAAACGTGATCTAGTTCTTACAGAACTTTACAACAGAATTTCTGGTGACCAAACCAACGATCATTACTTGAGCCATACTATTCAAAATGAATTAACTGAACTGATAGCAAAGGAGGTTGAAGCCACTAACATGCATATTTTGAAGACCCCAAAATATTTTTCCTTAATTTTAGATTGTACACCCAATATTTCTCATCACTTGGCTGCACATTTCCTCTTGGCTATATATATTATCTGTGGTTATCTGGTATGACATTTTGTTTCTTCAGCAATATCGTGAAACTGGCTTTATCGATGCCTCCATCACTGACCATAAAATTTCAGAAACAATGAAAATCAAAAGAGTTTTTCCTGAGATGTGTTCTCATCTTAAAAAGGAAATTATTTGAATATGAATTTGCTGATGATGTTAACACACACACACACACACACACTCTCCAGAAAAAAAGTTCAAGAATGATTTTTTCTGCAACTTTTGGACCACACTTTGAGTTCTGTGAAAGAACATTTCAATCAGATAAGTGAAGTGTCTGATCTGTATGGGTTCTTATATTGTGTCTAAAATCTCATTATCATCCAGGATGAGAAGAAGCTGTCATTTCACTGTGAGAAATTTGTGAGAAAAATGAGTGACACTGATGCAGATGAGTTGTTGTAAGTGGAGCTCAAACAATTCATTACTGTTGTTCGAAATCATGAATAGGAACTGAAATCTGAACACGACTTTCTGAATTATATTTTCAAAAAGGAACTGCAAGAAATATATCCAAATTTATCCATTTATTGTTACTTCTCCAGTAACAGTAGCAAGCACTGAATCCATCTTCAGCAAACTAAAGTTAATCAAAAAGTTCCACAGGTCAACCATGGCTGATGAGAGACTTTCTTCTTTTAGCAATGCTCTTCATCAAAAGTGCAGCTGCTCAGAAGTTAAACTATGAAAATCTGACTAATAAATTTGCTGATCTGAAAGCTTCTGGGTTGAAACTGAATCAATTTTCACTGTCTGTAAGTTGTTATTGTTGTCTTTATGTATACTGCAATTTAAAGAATTGAATATTCTTTTTGTCATGTTTCAATTTTGAGATCTTTTAAATTTTACCCTATTTTTATTATGAAAAAGCATATGTTTTATATATATATATGTTTCTAATATGTGAATTGTTGTACAATTATAGCAAATACCTATGTTCTTTTACAATTGTGAATGCTAAAGATTGAAGTAAAGCTTTGCACTTTCACAAGTGACTATTCCCTCAGAGTGGAAGTTTCATATTGTGAGTGAAATGGTATATATTTAGACATTTGTTTATGAAATAGTATTACTTACCCCAGCATAATAAAGTTTTATCTTTGAGGGGGGAAGGGCAGCATGACTTAACCACAGCACTTATTTGGCTCAGTATAGAAGAAAGGAAGGTATCTGTGGGTCACTCCAACAATTTGTGTGGAAATCTCTGAAAAGTGGAAGTTATAACTCACAATCACAAAAATTATCTGCTCTGAAATGATGGAAAGGTATCGTTGGGTCACCCCATCTGAACAAGGTAACTGCCACTACTCTTAGCCATCCTTCCATAATTGTAATGGTTGTGCAATCAAAAAAGTGTAGGAGGCAAATTAAAAGTGGGAGGGCCCAAGGTTTATTTGACCGTGCAAAGCACAAAAATGTATGAAACAGGCACACCTATTATGGCTGTGGTCCAGGGCTTTCATTAGGACCCTGAAAGCTCTTGGATTCTGAATTAAATTTTATGTATTCTTCTGCTTTTCCTGAGAGTAATTTTGATACATTTTTACTGGCAATCCTTCAGTACATTAAAGTTTGTGCACTCTAAACAGTGCAATAGACTTACCTCAAAAAGAATTAGCATGTTAATGCATACAGTACATAATCTAAGGTTTGGGGGCAGAAGTGGAGGCCGAATATATGAATAAGCATGTTTCACTTCAACTGCTTGACTTCAAAGTGAGTCTGTGTTTTCTGAAAAATCAGTCTTCTAATGAGAAAAGGAAAGTGAGGAAGAGCCTGGAAAGATTTAGGACAAGACTGAGAATAAAACAAACTAGAAAAAGAAGATCTATGTCATTAACAAAGAATAATTGAACTTCTCTTCTCGAAAAGAGAAAAACTTGTTAGCTACATGAAAATTTAAAAATTCTGATTTTAAACACTGACAGAGCAAATTATGTTAAGTATTAATTACTGTACTATTAATCATATCAGAGGCAACTGTTTAATTATTAGCATTTAAGTAACAAAACTGTAATGACTTCTGATAAATACTCCATTACCAATAATTATTTCTTTTTGAAATACACTTTAAAATATTTAACACAACAGGGTAAGAATAGTTGTTCACACAGTGTGGGGTTTGTTTGGTAGTTGTTAAGCACAAATATACAGAACACAGATAAAACATTGTGTATCTTTGTTAAGCACAAAGATACACTATGTTTTATTTGTGTTCTGTAAACTACAGGAATTAAAACCTCATTTTTAATATTACAAGTCCTCAGATTTACCACTGCAGGGGAAGGGGGTAAATTTTATGGCAATGTTTCTTTCACAAATCTAATATTAATTTATTTTATCCTGATATACACAGGATTATAAAGATACTTGTAGCTCAGATGATGGAATAAAGAAAATGTTACCCATGGAGTCCTATTCTGATAAGTTTTGACCAACAAGTGGCTCACAAAGTTTTGTTAGTATCTCATATCTGAAATTAAGAGTGAATAAGCATTCAAATAACATAGTCATGAGGGGTATCCTAAGGTGGAATGTTTGAATTCAACAAACACATTCTTACTGTTTCCAAATCAAAAGAAATATATTTTTATGAGATACTTTGTGCTTTTTTCTCAACCACTAGAAAAACAGCAGAGGTTCATTATTTCAAATAATGGCTGAACATAGCTAATTGGGAAGGGGAATCCCAAAAGTTTGTAATGATTAGTGTATGGGATCTTAAGCACAAAACTATCCCTGTCCTGCAACAAAAGTTTTCCTACAGTCACTGAAATGATAACTATAAGTTACTGATAATACTGCAATTTTTTAAAACCAGCAATTTTACAGCATTATCTACAACCATCATTCACTTTAAAGTACATTATTGCCACATCAGAAAGACATGCTTTTATTTTAGGTTTTCACTCTTTCAACAAGTTTATCCAAAAAAAAAAAGTCAAGAAAACTATTGTTAGGGCAAAGACGGACTGTGACAGTGTATCCTCAAAGAGAAAAACAGATTCATATGCTGATGAATTTTTTTGAACAAAGGAAGAAACTTAAAATCCTAATCTTTTTTTTTGGAAGTAGCAGCATTGGTTGAAAATCTTTAAAAAATTATTGAGACCAAAGCTAAAGGCCCTAATGATATTTTTTCCTAAAAGACTAAAGAATCTTAGTAAGAAATTATGTAAGCTTTAACTATTGTCTTTAAAAAATCACTTGAAAACCAGAAAAATTTGTAACGATTAAAAGATTACCACAGTGATTTTTCTGTTTAAAACAAAAGGATCTACAACACTATTGTTGGAAAGAGTGTAAACAGAAGATATTTGGTTTAGAAAATTTTAAGTATAAAGAAACACTTAAAAAGTTCTGAACTTTCCTAGATTGATGACAAGTTTTTCACTGCAGTTTGTTCCCCACCACTTTTCATGATAGAGTACTTCATCCCATACATATCTTTATCTTATATTTGCACTAACTCTTTAAGTTTTCTGTATATAGTGTGCATTTCTCAAGACAAAAACACAACTGTACTTTATTTTTGAAATTGTAGATCATATCTTACCTAAAAACATCTATGGAATATTAAGACCTATTCAAAATATTACACAGAAATTTTAAATGATCTTCGCAATGGTTAAGTGAGTTGAATAAAAACATTTACTATAGTGTAGGTGAAAGAACTCAAAATATTTATAATTGTACTTTTTAAATTTTGATTAAAGAAAAATCTCCCCTAACCCTAAAATAATCAAAGAAGTTCATAGTTTAAAAAAACTATGTAGATTTGCACACCCAAAAATTAGAAGTATCAATATTGCAATTAATCAAACTAATTACTGCTATGATTTCCTGTGTATTTTACAGAGTAAATGAGTTATTTCTCCCCAATGTTGTGATTAATTTTTTACATTGGATAGTTGTAGCAAGCAAATATACAGTCACTCAATATATGGTGACTAGAGTCTGTATCAGTTTTGAACATAGCAAAAATAAACTAGTAATTTTGGGATTATATATAGAGAAAATAAATCTGGGGATAAAATGTCCTACCTATAAAATTAGCAAGAAGTGGTGTGTCTGGAAATAAAATGCTCAGGGAGAAAAATGTGATCAATCATCATTTTTTTAGGATGGTAGAAGAGTTTAAAATGATTGTTTCAAGAACTAAATATCTGTAAGCATTTAGACAAACCTCATGTGGGTGGTTAGAGTTTAAATGGTGACATGTAATGATTGGAGTTATGAACTTAAATTACAGAGCAATAAGACTTAAACTTTGAAAGACAAGGCAGGTTGAAAAAAATGCTGAGGTAGATACTTAGAATGATACTAATTTTAAGAAATATGACACATGATGAAAGTCTTTTATTTCTTTGGAACAATGAAAATCTGGTGGTGCCCAGAATCAGGTGTTGAAAACTGTTAGAAGAATGGACAATCATTCTACAGGTTGTTTGTCCAAGTGGCAGAATAAGAAAGATTGTAAGTAGGAACTATTGAGGATTTTGGACAGCGGATGTTGGCTTGTTCTTTGACAAGATTATTTTTTGATTACAATCAGAATGTTTGTTTGATGATATGGTATGTACTATTATTTTAAATTATATTAAACTTACTTAATAAATATAAAAACCTCAAAAGGTACATAGTTTAATGTTGTGGTAGTTTATTATTGTTAATTGAAGGAGTTATTTCACCAGGCTGAATGGTGTTGTTACCTTGAAATTTGTTTTTTCATATTCAAGTTGGGCAAACAGACATTTAAAAACAAATTAATAATCAAGATTTTTATTAAATGCAAAAATAAGTTTAAGCCAAATGAAAATGATGGAATTTATATGAAACAATTGATAAATTATATAACTGTTTGTACTACTACTAAGATTATTCAACTCTCTAGTCTATTAAACACTGAATAGTTAAATCAAGTAAATCATTGTAAATTACAATATAACTTAATTAGTGAATTAGATACTATACTTGTTTGGAGTGAGTAACTGCATGGTTAATTTATTTTAGTCAAGAGCATGACAATAATACGTATTTATATTTTCAGTATACAACTATTACAAGTAAATATTACATAGTTATTTAATTTGGAAAAAATCAATATAAAGCTGGCTCAATCAGGTTAATTTTTTTCGTTAAACTTAATTTTAAAGGAAAAAAAAGAATCTCATTGAGCCAGCTATATACTGCTTTTTTTTTCATATTAAATAGCGATAATACATTCATCACAGACTGAGGTTGTTTTGCATTATTACTATTAGTGTTAGCTTAATGTAATTAGGCCAAACCTGAATCTCCTACTCCTAAGCTAAACTTCATGAAATGTTATTTAGTTTTCATTAACAGTAATGGTACTCAAATTTCGAAACTATGAATTATAATCTTTATAATATTAACATGCTACACTACACCACAGCACACAGTGTACGGAGATTCACTTCTCGTATAAGTGATTTGAAATCTCAATCTGTAGTCTGTTTCACTGAATAATTTGTTTACTGTATTAATTTTAATATATATACATATAAGTTATAACATAGTAAATCCAGATCTTGAGTTTTTGACTAATCTCAACACTGAGCATAGGTTTGTTTACTTTGGCTGAAACAATGAAAATTTAAATAATGTTTAAATTTTTAGTTTGTATTTCTTAGGCTTAGCTACTGCTTATTACATATTTATAAAACCAAAATGAACCTTTAAATTTTAATTATTTATCTCACCTTTTTCTTATATATCTATTACTCCAAATTATAGCATTAATAACATTACACCTTCTCTACGTACTCAAAATTACATAATGAAATTCAAAAGTCTAAGTTAGTGAAATTTGTATTCAAAATATGAAGTGAAAGAAAATCAAAAATTAGTTATCTAGTTTTCCTTTAAGTTTCAATATGTAGGTTACCGCTGATATGTATATATATATATATATATATATATATATA